GCCGGTCTGTTTACGTATTCCTTTGGGGGAACCATGAAAAAGGACAAGGCTGGTTTTGACAGGGCTTTCCTGCCTACGCAACAGCTACCGGTTGTTAAAAAGGTAGGTTTGTGGCGTCGAGGCTGGGCTCAGAAGTTATTTAGCGGTTAGGGCTTTGGGGACTTCGGTCCTCGGCTGCATGGTACTTCAGGCTCGATCTTGCAAGCCCTTCCAATCTGACAGGAACATGATGTAAACCCAGAGGGTCTATGTTGCTGGATATAAGGACATTGGGGGCCATGTCCGTGCATATAAGATGTGCCCCCCGTGTCTCTATATACAGAGACATGGGCTGATGGGCTTCAGGATGGGAGAATACATATGTGCCTTGAGGGACTGCCTGTTGCCTAATGTTGTGCACAACACCCAAAAAATGGAATCTGATCCGAATGTCTTAACAATCTCAGTCACGAAGGACTGTTTTCACTGCTGCTGCAACGAGGGGTCTTCATGATTGCTTTGCCGACGGTGCGGAAATAAATCCTTGTGTCCATGTACATTGTGCTCACATTGTGCTTGCCAGCTTCTCAGGAAGCTAGTGTTTGCCACTGCACGGCGCATGCCCTTTCTCGTGCAACGTCTGCTTCCGGAACATCTCATAAGACTCTGCCACACGACGGAGTCGACGGGCCAGATCCCGAGCTGATGGCCAAGCCTTGCTTCAAGATCTCATGTAGCTTGCTTAAGCTTGTGGATCTAGCAACTGATTTTACCACCTTTATGCCACCCAGGCACAGAATCCTCCAAGGTCTTAATTGCACGAATAACTTTGCTCATGCTCCAGCGACCCTGGACAATCATGTGCACAGCATCCTTGCTTCTGAAGTGCGGCGTGCGGCCATTGCCAGATGCAGCTCTAGTATTTTGTTTCCCCATCTGCAGTAGATAGGGCTTGAGCTGGTAGGGGCAGCAGCTGCAAAGCGAAAGCTTTCATTGATGGGAGCACCGGCAAAGTAAACTGGGAAACATCACAAGAATCATCATAACCATACGGGGCAGCAGGCAGGAGCAGTAGTCCTAGTAAGCCTTCTTAAGCCCGTCGCAGCCTGGAATGTAAAGTAGGTTATGGTAGAAGCCAGAAAGTTGGAACATGAGTTTCCTCATGCTCCTAAAGTAAAAAGTATAAGGGATCCTAGCACTAATCCTCCTAAACCCATGTTCCAACTTTCTGGCTTGTGCTCTATCATAATCGAATTACACTCTAGATATATAAGTTACAGGCACGTCCCGAATAGACAGGCTCAGTCAAAGAGCAGCAACATGCCATAGATCTTATTTATTTTAATTCCTATGCACTAGTCAGGCTAAAGAAGATCGTAAATTAGATTAGCACCAGCTTTGCATTGCCACCATGTTGCTGGCGCCTCTGCTGCAGCAGACTTTCCAGATATAGTAGCTCGTAGGGGTTATTAGGGATTCATACCTACATGCTTCAAGTAGCACACCCACATACACATACCACAGCATCATTAGGTGCACTCCATTGCACGTGTCACTTTCGAAGGCAGAATCAGACTGCTTCAGCGTGCAACCATCCTAAGCCTAGACTGCCCCTGTGCCATGTGATCTTAAGGCTAGTTTACAGTCCATGCGGCTCAGAGACTTCAGCAGCAACAGACCACATGTAGTGCCCAGGGCGATCTCATTAGGTTGCAGGATCAATATAGACCCCAAACATCCACACATAGGGTTATTATGGAAAAAAACTAAAGATTCAGGGGTTGCCTATTCGGTCTTGCGATAGGAGGATTACTATCCTACAGTCAGCTTCTTGGGTTTCATTCCAATGCTTCGGGCATCTATGCTAGGGTGCAGGGGCTTAGGGCTTAGGGGCTCAAGGGAACTAAACAGAGAGTATTCGCACTGGGACTCTTGTGGCTCTAAGTTGGTCACTTCTACCTGAAATCCTGCCTCGACATCGCCATATCCCTACGGTTGATTTGTTCTGTGTCCAACTGTTTAGGGCAGCAAGGGATCCTAGGGGGGTGATCTTGAGACACCTTAGCACGAAGAATTCGGATTTTCAGTCGGGGACTACAAACAAATGCCAACGGGTACTGAGCTCTCGAGTACTGGGGATCGGGGTGTCGAAGTTTAAAGTTCAGGGTCCACTGCCTCCATGGCGCTTCGGCTTGCTGACATCGACAGCTTTCTCGAGGCACACGGTGGCACACGGATTCATGATCTCGTGATGAATTGCGTCGTGCTATGAGGGAATACCCTCATTTGGCATGGAATTAAGCAGATCGAGCTTACAGCCTTTGTCTAACTTGTTCATACCACCGACAACCTTTCAGGGCTACAGCCTGCAAGCACGAAAGAAACTCAGCAGCTACCAGGGCTCTTGGAGTGGTAGAGCTGCATGTACACACGGGCCAAAGTCATCGTCTCGACGGATCTTTTGTGGCAAGCTTCTGCGATTCCTTGGGCCACTATCTATTGTTATTGACTATTTCCAAGTCATTTGCAATTAGAAAGCACATGTACAGGTGGACAGGTCAACAGCTAAGATCCGTACTCACCATACATCCTACCATGTCCTCCTGCTTGAAGCAGTGATAGGTTCGCGGGTTGATGCCTTGCAATATGAAAGCATGAAGACCCTTGCACACAGACTCAGCATGCAACGAAAGAAATCAGAGCCTCTTGTGGACAAGTTACGATGCTTCACAGCGAAGAATGCCATCTCCTGCCATCCCTGGGTAGAGGTTGTATGTCACTTGACCATGACGCCAGGCTTATGCTTAGAATGGAATCTGAGAACATGACATGAAACTTTGGTTTCACCGGGAAGAGGCATTTCTTCTCGGTCACGGCTTGGTGCGCCAGCTGTAGGTAGGCATCCAAAGAGCAATCCTCAATTGCAAAGTAAGAAGCATTCCGATCAAGCTTTCAAACCAACCACACCAGAAGCCACTCCGAAGCCAAGAAACACACGCACGCTGAAGCCTGCTGGCTTCCTCGATCGTCAGGTAGCGATCGCATTTCTCGCTGATGTTGAACCAGCTTGCAAGGTGCCACCTGGGATTATCGGTGAGTGGATGGGTTTTGCAGGTTTATGGTTTCCTTGGGATGTTTTTAGGGATTGTTTAGAAATCCACATGTCAATATTTTTTGTTGGGGTTGCATACTTTCACATCTAAGATCGAGGTTGCATGGGTAGAGTGCTGGTCGCTTGCGCTATGGAGGTGTTTCGGAGCTACAGGGTTAGTAGGATACTATATACCTTGCAAGTCCCGGTTCTAGATTTCTCCGTACTCGGAACATGAGGTTGGGTTCAGTATATCATTAATTAGACGACCTTGCTCATAATTAGCCAGTACTCATATTCCAGCAGATGCACAGGGAGGTTGCCAACAGCTGCTGAACTTCTGTTTGCATGTGCTGCACCGACTTGTTGGCCATCCATGCAACCACCACTCGTCCCTGCATCAGGGTCAATGGCTGATCTACCATATGATCTGCACTTAATTTATTACCAAACCAGCAGTATTCTACATATGAGCTGAGTTGCATTGTAAGCCTTGCATTGGAACAAGGGGTAGCGATCCATGTTCGACAGCTTGAAGGCCGGCTGGCTGTGACTGAGTTTGACAACTAATGATAAATAATATAGGTTATTAAAAAAACCCTATATAGCTCTTAATGCTACTGAAGACGAGTTGCGGGATACGGTGGGTTTTGGTCCAGGCATCAAACTCGGCAAAAGCAGCCTTAAGCTGCTCCTCCTCCGAGGCATCGCCCCAAAGTCGGTCCCCCGTCATCTGTCGAAAAGCCGAGCCCAGGAGGAACTGAGCCAGCCCCAAGTTCAATGTATGCATCCCACACCAGCGGATGTATTCGGGAGAGAAGTTCATCAGGCGTAGCAAGGAGCCTTTCCCAATTCGTAGTTAGTACCGGGTATGGGATTGGAAACTATTAATATTTTTATAGTTCAATTTCCAATCCCATACCCTGTACTAACTACGAATTAGAGCTTATAAGCTATTAGAATCTGAATAGGGGGATGGGTACTTAGGGTGGGCTATCCTTATCAATGAAACCCGGGTCCTATTAATTGGCAAATTCCAGCCGGTCACACTCCGACTTGCGGCAGGCGTGCTGCTCGAAGTCGGCTCGATCACGCCTCTCATTGAGGTTCCCCGGCACGGACGCATATTCTTGCTTGTGGGCTCTGCAGTGATGGCAAACTTGATTGCAGTTCCAACCCACTCTGAGAGCGAGCCATTCCTGAACGGGTCTCATGAAATTACAAAACTATCAGCAAGTGAGCACTAACAATCCGGCGATAGTACTGGCAACAAAATATGTCGTAGAGGTCTTCATTCTCTGTTCATGATGGTAGACAGTATAGCCTATGAGACGTTTTGTTAAGGAAGGAGTATGGCTTTAAGTTTAGGAGGTAGGTCGAAACCTTATATACTGCTGCCATTGGCTGTAATCCCTGAGGCCGGGCTATTGTTACAATATTATCTGGATCTGTGTTCAGGGCGGGAAAAGGGTTGTGCCCGAGTTGAAACAGGAGTTCACCATGATCAGTTTTGGGCTGCATTCCTGTGATTACCTGCATGCTACTATAGCATGATTGGCTGTATCTACCCAAAACCCCCAAACCCTACCTACCCAACGCCCTAAAACCCTGCCTAGCCTAAACCCTAAAACCCGTACCTTAAACCCTAGCTACTCTAAGCCCTAAACCCCTACCTGTTTTACCTTTAGACACTAGCTACCCTAAACCCTAAACCGTGTGGTTATTTAACTCCACCCCCAACAAACCCATTAAGTGTTCATTAACCTATTCAACTACAACACTCTGTCCCAGGTCAAGGGGGTGCAAAGGGGGAGAGGGGTGGCAGAATCTGCCACCCCTCTCTCCCTTTTCACCCTCTTCACCCACGGCCACCGCCGCGCATGCAGTGGAGGCATACTTGGGGCTACATGTGATGACCTGAAATTATGATTCAGACTTGAGGGCACTCTGGCATTAGACAGGTTCCATCAGAATAGCAGGCCTTGTGCCACTTCCAGTCCCCTTGATACTGGACCACAGCAGCATACACACGCTTGTGTTCCCCATTTGGAGTCTGCACCATGACACCCTGCTCGAAGAGAATGTTGAAGGAATCAACGACCTGTCTAGCATTCACACGGACTAGCTAACAAGGTTCCATCCAGGCTTCCATGCATGGTTTGTACACACACAGCCTTACAGCAGAATGAACTACTTAAAAAAAACCCACAGTGCCTCCTCCATGAAGGTGTTGAGAGTGCCAGGGCCAGCACTTTGCCCCTCAGGGTTGGGTAACAGCATCTTGCTTATGACACAAGGTACATGACGGGTTCTTGTAGATGTAGCACTGGCTCTGGAAATCCGCTAGTGGGCAGCTTCGAGCATGGGGGTCCAGCACTATATCTAGTCTATTACATTAACATTAGAATTTCGGGCCTGTGGGTCTTTGGGAGTTGCATCTGTTTCTGGTGCGTTGGATGGTTTCTAGCTGACTAGAGACCTTGACTAGTTAGAATCCCCCACCTGCTGATAAAGAAAGAGGGGCCACACAGTCTGCAGGGCATTCTTGGAACTCTCAAGCAGCTTCCCAAAGGCCACCACCACAAGTTTATCCTCGTGTGTTTTGGTAAACCGGGCATCATCGCCCCAGACATACAATGGGATGTGCAGGTCGGTGGCCCCCATAGTTGGCATCCCGCTTGTTCTAGCATGTGACCAGAACTTTGCATTCTCATCCGCATCACTCAGGGGGATAATGCCATGCCGCACCAGCCAAGGAAACAGCTTGTGTGGAAGCACCACAGGAAGCTTCCTTATGTTGCAAGGTCTAGGCCGATCTAGAGCATTAAACATAAGGGCAAGGAGCCGCTTCGTCAGCACACCCTTTGCGAGCACCGGGACCTCCAAGTAGGAAACCGGAACCTCAGACACAGCAGCAACTTCGAGTAGCACATATTTTCAGTCTGCACAGAAACGACCAAGCTGAATCATATGTGTGTGCATATGCGAACAAGACACCTGGGAAGCCTTGCACCTTCGGAGCATATCCCGCTGCACGTTGCTCTGCCACTTCCCCGAAGTGTTGATCAACTCACCTGCAGCCCCACCAAGCTCGAGTCCATAGCCCTCGAACTCCTTGTTCACAGCTTCAAGCATCTGACGGGCCCCAACAAACGAAGTCTCCTCGGCTTGGATGCAGGCCAACAGCTTCGGAGACAGCAAAGGCGGCAGTTTCAGGGGCGGGGTTGCAAGGCTAAGTACTTCAAGAGTACTTGACATGTAATGTAGCTAGGCAACTTCACTGCAATTGGAGGCTTGAAGTAGGGTTTTGGGGGATGATATTTGGATCTGGGGGTCTGGCAGGGCGCTACTGTTTAAATATACTAAGCACAATGATGATAACAACGCATATGCACACAAGTGTGAGCCATCCGGCCAACAGTGATTGGGGTTTCAGGTTTAGGCTAAGGTCTTAATTATGCTTAAGCTTAGGTGTTTGGACTACTACTACATGTATATGCAAGCCAGTAGCCCCTTTGCCGATGCTGCGCATGACATAGGAGTGCAGAGGAGTGCTGGTAGAGCGACCTGCGCGGGCAGCTTCTACATATATTGCAATATGTAGCATCAATGATAGTGCTTCACAATCCGACACGACAGCACGACACATCCAGGTAAAGGTGACGTTTTTTTCCCTCGTCGCAGCACTTCAGCTGCAGAAGCTCCAGGCTTGAAAGGTTTTGCACCCTAATGAATGCTTAAAAAGCCTATGGCGCATCACAGCCGGACAGTGCAGCATCCTTGCATTGTATATATCTAGCGTTAAACAAGGCTACTGCATGCAACCAGGATTTCGAGGTACTAGCCCTGAAACCTAAAACCCTAGAAACCTAAAGCCCTAAAGCTCTAGCTGGTATTTGGCGGATATTTTCGGAACAAAGGTTGTGTGCATGTTTACTTAAGCAGACTGCCGCATCCCGGCTGCTGAATGCCCATGGCATAACAGTTGGTGCCAAAACTCCTCCGGACAAGCTATCTCGAGAAGGTCCGACAGCCTACCCATCTTCAGATACACCGCACAGGCATTGCAACCTGCTCACGATCAGCGGCCCCTGCCGCCAGCCCTGCCCTTGGCCTTCGCCTTCGGTTCCTTCGGGGGGGCCTGAGAGAAACGTGTGTAGATATGAAAGCATTGAAGAGGATGCCTAGTCATGAGATCAATCAAGCATCTAGTTTCGGCCTAGCTACCGTTGCAGCTTTCACAGCTTTGATCTTGCCGGCTAGCACCGTGAAGGCACTCTCGACGCTTCGCATAACCTGGTCGTACACGGCTTTCTCCTCACCCACCTGGGATGTTTAGGTTCAAACTTCGGAGGGGATAATATCACGACCTGACTAGAATTGAAAGTAGTACCATCCGTATTGTATGTATACTATAGGATTGAAAAGTTGTAGCATCCGTATGATATGCATCAACTTCGGAGGGGATACTATCACGACCTGACTACATAGGAAAGTCGTACCATCCGTAATTGTCTCTAACTACATGTAGAAATCGACTCTGGAACCGGGGCACAATCTCAGCATCCTCAAGCTTGCGGGAAAACCATGACTCCAGCTGTGCCCGGGCATCTTCCACCACCTTCTTGCCCTCATTGAGCTCATGCTCGTAGCCCTCCTTCATTTTCTCCGACCTGAGCAAGTGGCTTGTTCTATTTCGTGACGGGGCTCTCCGGTCTTCAGATTTACATTGTAGGGCCCAGGAGGTTACAACAATATCAGCATTTGCCATTGCGTGTGTCTAAACATTACTGGGTGTAGACTTAGACCCTAGAATCACTGCGCCTAACTCAATTGTGCTTAGCTGTCTTCCTGGCGACTACCACATTGCAGGTCTAGGTTGCAGGGTTTGAGATTTAGGGAACTAGCGTGTTATTCCATATTATACATAGACCCCGGAATAGAAGGCTAGGTTGCCACACGTAGTTCAATATGTGCTGTCTGGGAGACGGAGGCCACAGGATTACACATGACGACACCAAACCGTTCTTATAGTCTTAATTGAAGATAAGGGGCAGCTGGGTGGCACTGGGCAACTCGGTGGCCATAACTCTCGCTTCGGCCAGCTTGCTTGAGATCTGGCTAACCTTGGATGTAGCCTGTTTTCGGAAGCTGGGGCCCTTTCCTTTGCCCTTGCCCTTTCCTGGTGGATTCCCGGGCCCGGGTGTCTCACCACCTGGTCCACCTGGGGTGTTGGGTGGTGTGGGGAGTGGCCTGCCAGGCGCTGCTGGGACAATGCTGTAGCTCGAGCTCGCCGGGGCGCCCGGCTGATGGAATTGTGCCCTTAGCTGTAACCATACACACATAGCAGTTCAGGCCTGGGTGTCTAGCTGTACCTCTCCCTAGCACCCAAATCTTAAATACGAGGGGCCCAAGTAGTAAGCTAGCTAGATGTAAAAAATCAATCAAGGATAAACCCTAACTGGTAGAAGCCTCACTGCACTACAACCCAACACCCCCCGTGCCAGTAGCAAATTATTGAAATAATTAGTTATAATTCTGAAAGTCGCGGCACACAAGACCCCTGGAAGCATCAGCATCCAGCGTTCCCTCGGCCCGGAATTGGTGCTCCTGCGTCGTGGTCTCGTCATCCTCGAACTCCATCGAGTCGTAGACTTTGAAGCACTCCCACTCCTGCTTGAAGTGGTGCATGCTCTCGGTCCACATGTAATTGGAAGTGTGGTCTCTAGTGGTAGCTACAACCGACATCTAATATAATGCAGGAGTAAACAATATTGCAATACACATTAATTAGTGAATCGTGAATTCTGCAAATTTGTTATAACTCCTAGGCTAGGTTTATCTTCATCTTAGACATGCATATACCTAGACAATCCTTCGGCGTTTATTTTCGCCGCCAACGATAACGGCAATTATTCTCGCCGCCAGTTCCCAGAAACGCCGACAATAAACAGAAACGCAGACAAAAAAACAAAAACGCCGCCAAGGACAGTACACTTATGATGCTATGACAAGACTACCTTACACACGAAACAAGAGCAGCATGAAGCCCGACCGAAACCCTGAAACCCTGAAGCCCTGAAGCCCTAACCAGATTTGGGGTTGAGGCTTGGCGATGTTCGTGGTTAGGGCAGGTCTCATACAGACGAGGATTTGGGAACTCGAGGATAAGGCGAGGTTTTTTGATTCAGAATCTACGACTGAAAAGTCCTGAAGGCATAGTGGCTCAGATGTTTGGCATACGATGTCTTTGATTAAGTTGTAGAACCTTGGAACAATACTGAAGCCCTAAACCCTAAGCACCCTTAAGCCTCCCAGAACCACTCCACCCATCTTTGCAGGGGCTTCCTTCAAGGACCGTTGTAGCCCTGAACCTCAAGCACCTCTAAACCCCCACACCCCGGCACTCCAACCCTCATCTTTCGCCGGCCATCGTCGCCGAGCTGCTGGAGTCTGCTCTGCAGCCCTGGTGCTCCTTGGGTTTCCTGGACTTACACCCTAAACCTGATTAGGTTATACTATATTTAGGGACTGGTATACGTAGAGCCAGAGCCCGTGGAACACGTCAGAGCCGCAGATTCTGCTTGGACCGGCTCTGTCGGTGCCTCCTAATAAGAGCAGCTTTCTTCAGGAAGTGTCTCTGCAGCACCCGTTTGCTGATTGTTTTCACAGCAACTTTGGTCGATAGGGAACAGACTCGACCGATAAGGTCCTCTCCTTGCTCACACCCCCACATGATGGGGTTCGGGATGAGCTTTGCATTGGTCAGCAATGCTTGTCGGATCTCATATGCCACATGGTGGATGCCGTGGAATTTGGGTTTCAAGGCAAAGAAAGACATCTGCATCGTCACCGCATGTGCAGCCAGATGCTGGTAGCCCGACAGTACGGACATCAACCTCAAATAGAGATTTTGGGCACATGCCCTCCTCAGCCACAAACCATGTTTGTACATCAAAGTGAAGGCCTTCTGCGACTCCAGGATCGTCTTCTTCAGCACACGAAACAAAACAACATGTGCGGCAGGCAAGTTGGGTTTTCTCAGCAAGATCGTCACATAGAAGCTGAGATATTCCAACAAGAGCATGGTATCCGAACCCTTGGAGTTCGTCCAAGCGAAGTCGCTCAACCGTTTCAGATTGAACAACGACTTCGAAAAGTATCGCAAAGCTGCGGTCTTGTGGGATGCCAGTCGCCATAGTTTGAAGTGGGAGAAGCAGCGGTTGAGCCTCGACTTGATATTTGTATCATCGCTGCCACTCGGATCATCGTAATATCCAAGGCGAGCCAACAAAACCAGGGAGCCACAAATATCTCGCCCAAGCCCAACTTTGAAAAGATGGAACATGTCATATTTCAGAACTCTTTCCGGTGCATCGCTGTCGTGAGGGACAGTGCACATAGCAGGTGTCGAGTCCCAAGGTCGCTGCTGGAAAAGTGTCGAAGCCCAGGATGGCTCGTGAGCCAGCTCATCAAAAGGAATAGCCGCACTTGTACCCGCCATGCAGTGTGCACAGACACCGTTGTAGTTCACAGGGCCCAAGCGAGCATAGTATCTGTTGAGATAAGCTATTTTTTCAGCGATTTGTTTCATATCGCCCTTGATCCCAACAAGGCAGGCCGTGTAAACCTTGCCACCAACCTCCAGGCCCGAAGAAAAAAGCTTGGTGAGCTCGTCAGCGACCTGCTGGGTCAACTGTTCCAAAACCGCTGGATGGTGTTTGTAGACCCAGTCTGGGAGGCCGAAAAGCACATGTCTGGTCAGGTAGGAGTGACCTTTATTTGTATGGCTTTGCTTCAGGGCGGCCTCCTCCATCGGCGAGTACGGGCCGTCTGCTTGCTGGCCCGGAACAAACTGCTGCGGAGCCTTCCGCACATCTTCTTTGCAAGTGCAAGTAAAGTCCTCGGCTACGTCCCATAAACCTATCGGCGATTCGATGGAGGCCACCACGAAGTTGCCTCGCTTCGGGCCCTTGCCTTCATCTGAGTAAAAAGCCAACGGAATCGTGGTTCCGAGGTCCAGCCCTCGCTCGAACACCGGATGGGTGCTGTGAGTCTGTCTGTAAGCCATCCAGTAGGCCTCCAGCTGGAACTCCAAAGACTCGTTGCCCCCAGCGAGCAATGAACGATTTCGTTTCAAGAGATACTGCAGCCAGTCTTGCACTCGTATGTATGCAGTATCAGCTGTCCCGTTGTCGTCCAGTGCGAAGGTCTTTTCGGATACAGGCACCGGCAAAGATAAACCCCAGTGTTTAAAAAGCCTGTGGCAATCTCTCTCCTCGTTCGGTGCCTCTCGCCTTTTTGCCTCCGACTCGCCCGGATTCTGCAGCTGTCGCACCATCCGCTTGGTGTCCTTGGCAGTGGCCTCGGCGAACTAGCTTTCGGTGACGACTCGCTTTACAAGTAGGATTCGTGGCTCTGCTCGTGCGGGCTTAGTACTTAGGGTTTGTTATCATACCGGGTTTCCTTTAAAACCTTGAGTCTGGCCCTACACCCTACAATCTTAAAGACTTGGGTCTGGCACGAAGCCCTAGATTCTTAACGATTTGGGTTTGGAGGTTTAGATATGGAGACTTGCTTGTCGAATCGGACATAGGCCAAGCAAGGGTTGAAACAACAGTTCGGGTTTTCAAAAGCATTTGGGCTGCCTTTAAGACTCGAAGGAGGCTCGGTTCCTTAGGTGCGGCTTGCTTTGGGCTCGGGATCCTGAGACCTCAAAAGGCTTCCTAGCAGTTTAGGCCCCGGGCTCAGCAGATTAGGTACTGCCCCCATACAGTAACAGTCCATAGTAGGGCTACCATGAAGATGCTAACTATAGATTAATATTATTACATAATATATGTATTATATACATAATTCTACTGCTACTGAAGGAGGCAGTACCCAATCCACACACACACACACACCAACACAAGCTCTTTGGAAAGCAAGGACCAGATGGCTGAGGATTTAGGTGTTCTGGTTTGCGGGAATAAGGTTTGGGCAGAGGCGTGGGTTTGGGGAGGTAATGGTGCTTGCTTATCGAAGTTCGGGCTTCTTGTCTTTCACAGAATACTGAATGGAGAATAAGGTGTAGAAGTATATATCATTGGAGAAATCATTGACTCTAGGCCTCATGGCTTTTTCGTATTGAGGCTTTGGGCACGGGTTTCATTCCCCTAGGGTTTAGGAGTTTAGGGCTTGGGGTTTTGGACCTGAAAGTCTATCGTCCAGGCTGTAATATTATATGCATACAAAAAGGAATCTTATGGTGCTTGCTTCTGAAAAGTTCGGGCTTGTTGTCTTTGGCTGAATGGAGAACAAGATCTAGAAACATCCTTGGAGAAATCGTTGTCTTTAGGCCTCGGGGGTTCTTCTTCGGACTTAGGTTTCATTCCCCTAGGGTTTTAGGACTTAGGTTTTGGGACTTGAAGGCCTGTCGTCTTGATTGGTATTGACATGCCTGTGATTGGGCGTAGAGCACCCAAGCCTAACCTTTCAACCATCATCTTCAGGATAAGCGAAGCTTGAAAGACTCCAATAAGTGCAAATAGCCTGTACTAAGAAGTAAGACTTTCCTAAAACCTGTACCCCCAAACCACCTTCCGAGGACCCCGACTCCATCCCCGAGCATTTCAGCATACTGTGCGACTCGCCCGAACGTGTCTTCCTCCGAGGAACCTGGCGTGAGAAGGATTAAGATTTCTGTTCGGGAATAAAGATTCCTGGCTTGGCTTGAGCGGAGGGGATAAGTATCGATGCTGTTCTTACATGCAGAGGGATACTACACACTGCCAGGGGCTTCTAGCTGTCAGACTTTGGGTGGCTCGCACACTAGATTATTCGGAGCTTCGACTTTGGATTCTTTGGCGTACTCTTCAGGGTCGGGTGGGGTTTAGGGTTTAGGGTTGCGAGCTTCGACTTCTTGCGGGGCTCGTACACTAGATATTCGAGGTTTGGGCTTGGATTCTTCGGCGTACTCTTCAGGGTCGGCTGGGGTTTGGGGTTTAGGGTTGTGAGCTTTGACTTTTGCGGGGCTCGTACCCTAGATATTCGAGCTTTGGGCTTGGATTCGTTGGCGTAGTTTTCCGGGTCGGCTGGGGTTTCGGCTTTAGGGCTCTGAGCTTTGACTTTGGGTGGACTCGTACAATGAGTATTAGAGGTTTGGGTTTGGATTTTTCGGCGTAGCTTTCTGGGTCGGCTGGGGTTCTGGGTTTAGGGTTCTGGGCTCTTAGGCTTCAAGCAGGGTGCAATCTTTTGGGCTCCACTCCGGAAGCTGTCGGCCGGTCCAGCAGCTATTCCAAGCCACTGCTGCCAGCAAGCAAAACAGCTCAGCAGTTCTGTCCAACTACTCTTTGCAAGCTGAAGCATTATCACATGTCACTGCATGCCGAGCTGGTGGCCTATGCTTTAAGCATCTACTTCTTAGTTTTTTTAGCCGGCTTCTCCTCCTCCTCATCTGGGTCCTGCGAGCCTCTCTTGCCAGCCGTTTTGGCCTTCGGAGCAGCCTTGGTTTTGGCTTTCGGCTTTGCCTCCTGCTTGCCCTTGGCTTCGGCTTGCCCGGGGAACCTTAGCTTGGAACAAGGATAGCTGGACCGAACATAATGCATTTGCGATGCAACAGGTGGCTTTGTGGTGAAGGACTAAGCCAGGTTTGGTGTTAGGGGTTCAGGGGTTTCGGGCTTGGGTGTGTAAGGCTTGCGGGTGTCTGGGATTTAGGGTTCATGGCTTTAGGGGTTTCGGCGCTCACACTCGGACAATCAGCAATCAAGGGGTTTGGGGCTTAGGAGTTCAGGGGTTTAGAACTGAGGGGATTAGGGCTTGGGGTTTTAGGGCTTAGGGGTTCAGGGGTTTAGGGCTTAGTACTGTAGGGGTTTAGGGCTTAGGGCTTCGAACTTAGGCGATGGGGCTTTGGGGTTTAGGGCTTAGTACTTTAGGGGTTTAGGGCTTAGGGCTTCGAACTTAGGCAATGGGGTTTTGGGGTTTAGGGCTTGGGTGTTTAGGGGTTTAGTGGTTTGAGATGTAGGACAAGCGGCTTCAAGTTCTTCGATCGTTCAAAGACCAGCTCGGCCTCCACACACCTTAGCAGGGCTACCCGTAGAAACTATTTGACCAGAACTACGACACCCTCTGACTACACACCGAGTTGCCTGGTCTTGGCCGCCTGGAAATGCCCTCGCAGCTTCTTCTGGTCCCTTGGCAGGATTACTGGTGAGATTGCATCCAAACAACCTACCCGGAAGCTACCTCTTCATGAGCAGCATATAAATGATATGAGACGAGGCTCTCTTTCGAGAATCCAACCGCAATCCCAGTGCTGTAGATGGTACTCAAAGCATCCTCCAGCTCGGCCAGCTTGTCCGTCACGGTCTTGACAGAGGCTTTGTACCTTAGGATTGTTGGCAAAAGCAGGGGAACGATACAGTCGCACAGGATAAAAACTAATCAGGCGAGGTTCTTCGATTGCGAGTCCGTCAGCTTCGGCACAGCTTCAAGCTTGTCCATCACAGGCTGCAGCTTCTGAAGTCTCTTTTGCAAGCAACTCGCAACAGCCATGCACGAATCCTGAGGCTTCTTTCCCACTTCGGGAAAGTTAAGCTTCTTCAAGATGCGACCTGCTTCCTCGCCGTCGTCGCTGCTCTCGCCGCTGGATTCCCCATCACCTCTTGGCTGCAAGCGGGGTTTTAGGGGCCAGGGCAATTAGGATTAGTGTTAGGATTAGTGTCTGGGTTCAAAGCCCGGTGTAGGGTTTAGGGGGTTGGGGTTTAGGAGTTTGTTTTTTCCTAGGATTAGTGTCTGGGTTTAAAGCCCGGTTTAGGGTTTAGAGGTCTTGGGTTTGGGAGTTTAGGATACTTTCTAATTGGGTTTTGCGGAGCCTGTTTGGGGCTTGTAAAGGATCGGAATTCTGGGACCGGGAAGCTTTTCGTGGCTGGACCATTGAACCCCCAATCTCGGGTCTGGAACATAATCCTGCGTGGCAACAGCAAAATTCATCCCGAAACCCCCGACTTAATCTTCCAACCCAGTCCTTCAAGCCGTACTCGTTATGGCAAGAGAAATGCAGAGTTTGGCTCGGTGCAGATCGAAACATACGATTGGGGTTTTGCGGGAAGGGTTTTCGATTAGGCATTTAAGGGTGTGGGGCATAGGGCTTAGGGTTAAAGTTTGGGCTTCCTCTTTGTATAACTTTCGAGCTGGCATTGCGACGACTGAAAAGTAAACCCGATCCCTAAATAAATAAGAGCCAAAGCTACAGCTCGACAGCCCTAAACCCCAAAGCCCAAACCGGAAATCCTCAACCCCAAACCTAAACCATCCTAGACCCCTAGACCCTGGTAACCACAGCTCGACCGGTGAGCTTGAAAAGCAGCACGAGTGCTTCAAGTCTCGTCGTACTGGCATTAGTATTGCTAATGGTATTATACTATTACTGTTATTGGTATTAGTATTAGTAGTAGCAGTAGTAGTAGCAGCAGCAGCAGGAGTAGTAGTAGTAGTAGTAGTAGTAGTAGTAGTAGTAGTAGTAGTAGTAGTAGTAGTAGTAGTAGTAGTAGTAGTAGTAGTAGTAGTAGTAGTAGTAGTAGTAGTAGTAGTAGTAGTAGTAGTAGTAGTAGTAGTAGTAGTAGTAGTAGTAGTAGTAGTAGTAGTAGTAGTAGTAGTAGTAGTAGTAGTAGTGGTGGTAGTAGTAGTAGTAGTAGTAGTAGTAGTAGTAGTAGTAGTAGTAGTAGTAGTAGTAGTAGTAGTAGTAGTAGTAGTAGTAGTAGTAGTAGTAGTAGTAGTAGTAGTAGCCGGTTGAAAGGACACTCAGCACGTTGAGGTGTGTGTTCGATTAAAGGTGATCAGAGTGCTCTTTTGTGTCCTTCCTTCCAGGCTAGTAGTAGTAGTAGTAGTAGTAGTAGTAGTAGTAGTAGTAGTAGTAGTAGTAGTAGTAGTAGTAGTAGTAGGAGTAGGAGTAGGAGTAGGAGTAGGAGTAGGAGTAGGAGTAGGAGTAGGAGTAGGAGTAGGAGTAGTAGTAGTATGGCAGCAGCAGGCAGCGGCGGTAGTGGTGTTAGTCGACGTACTAGTAGCAGCAGCTAGTGGTCATGGTGGTGTTGCTAGTGGTAGTGGTAGCTCTAACTTTAGTGGTGGGGGTCGTAAGTAAGTACCTACTAATTAAACCTTTAGGGTGGGGTTAGGGTGCTGAATAACATCAGTTAGTTTAGTTGGTCCTAATGCAGACTAGCAAACTGAGAAGATCCCGGTCCTTCTTTCTCCTTGTCCCCGTCACCCTCGAGATTGAACGGGTAGTCGTCCATGGCCGACTCAGGATCCTCCATCGGCGCCTCGCCGTCGTCGCCCTCCAAGATCTCTGCCACCGTGTGGCGTTTGGTCTTCCTGAAGGACGAAGGATTGCCAAGTGGGGCTAGGGGCCGTTGCTATCAGCATCATTCGATATTCGAGCATAATCTTGAACCAGGGCACTTGTTGGTCCCCTTCACTCGCACAGCCACCCAGTACATCCACTCATCACAGTACTCGGATTTCCTGTGCGAAACGACCAGGATCAGAGAAACTAAAACTAATGATTATGTGTAGTGTGCATTGGGAACAAGTACAATATCTCCTCTTCCAGCCGGGGCGTTTCTCACAGCTCCTCTTGGCACCTTTGATCTTTTTCCTGGGCTGAGGACATTGGAGAATGGCTGGAACAGTGTGCCACGTGAGCATGCATGAAGACACAGCTTTTCTATTGTGTTTCATCTCAGTCACTCACTCCATCCCTTGTCTTCCATCTCCTGCTCTGTTAGGAACTCATACTCCGTTTCCACTGTTTTTTCGTTGATCTCTTCGTACTTGCGGTTGATTCGCTTCGAGAATAGCACCTGGCTCGGCTACACACGAAACATAAGTACGACTTACATTTTAAGCGAGGCAGTGAAGCGGGGTCGCATCCACATTTCTCGAAGCTGCGGTAGACTTCACCACGAGTGCCGAGGTTCCGGTAGGTGTCGATGACATCCATAGGGATTTTGTATGTGCCATCCTCCCTGGGTGCACACAGGCGTGCCAGCCTTTTCATGAGGGTCTGTTTGCTCACCTGTGGGGGTGGAGGAACGGACTCTTGTCCGGGGTCATACTCATCGTCCTGTTCCTTGGGCATCCTGGGCTTAGCAGGCGGGGCCTTGCTGGAGAGAGGGAGCTGTTTCGGCTGCGGTTTCGCTTTGGTTGGGGCTGTTTGCTTTGCACCACCCGCTTCGGCTTGGGTCTGGGTCTCGGGCTCGGCTGGAGCTTGTGGTTCGATCTGGGGTCCCTTGGCATCGGTTGGGGCTGTTTGCTCTGCACCACTCGCTTCGGCGTGGCTCTGGGTCTCGGGCTCGGCTGGAGCTTGTGGTTTGATCTGGGGTCCCTTGGCATCGCTTAGGGCTGTTTGCTCTGCACCATTCGCTTCGGCGTGGCTCTGGGCTTCGGCTGCGGATGCTTGCTTCGGGGAGGCGGTCTGGGTGCTCTCCTTGTCCCCAACTTGCTGTTGCCGCTCCATCTCCAAGGTCTGGGGTGTCTCGGCAAGCAGGGTTTCCGGGATCTTCTGGGTGCTGCTTTCTGGCGAAGCCACTGCTGGGGGGCTCGAAACTTGCGAACCCGTTTGCGAGGAGTGCCAGGAAGCCCCACGATACGGAGCCTCCAGGTTTAGTAGCTAAGAACTACCGACAAAACTGCACTCATCAGGACACACTGTTGCTGCTATCGCTGCTCCTTGGCGGCTGCTGGCTCCACACCCTCGGCCTTCATGCGAGCCTCGGATGTAATGGGATTCAAAGAGGCGGGTAACAACCAGAGTGGCTGTCGACTCAATCAATCAGGGCACCAAGAGGGCTTCCCTTTGGGCCAGGAGGGCTTGCATTTGTTTATCATCATCCATGGCTCGGGGCTGCGGCTAAACTCTTCCCTTTCTAGGGCCAAACCTGTGGGAAAAATGAGTCACAGCTGGTGCTCCATGATGTGTGCAGAGGCTGCAGAGGGTGTCCCGCGTAATCCCGCCGGAATCCCGGCCAATCCCGCGTGAATCCCGGCTATTCCCGCCGGCAATCCCTGAGGCCAAAAGCTTTCCCGGACCTCTAAAAGCCCCCAAAACCAGTAGCAGCCCCATCACAACCCCCCGAATACCTCAAAAGCAACAACAAGCCCCGACAATACCAGCCAAACCACACCTCTACTCCCTTCTCTGGCCCTTGTCTGCCTCTGTCCCTCTCTCCCTGTCTTCCCTCTCTCCTTCCCCTCTTTCCCTCGTGTTACTCCCTCCCTCTCGCCCTGCTTTACAGGATGGACTTGTGCAGTAGCAACGCCGTTTCTCTTTTAGCACAGCCACAGCCAATCAATCCAGCTCATCCAGAAACTTGCGACCAGCAGCCTCTGCCCTTGACAAACAGCTGGACTTGTGATATCCCGGCATGTCTTTGCAGATTGAGCAGCAGTGGATATGTGGAGGGAATACCTTGCGAGCACAGGTCATGCAATCCTGCACAGGTAGCTGAGCAACTATATCGGCATTGACCCTCGAGCATTTCTTGCTATGTCGTTTGCTCTTTCGACAGCCAGCACAGCAGAACACATGAGGTTCCACAGCCATTCGTGTACAGCCTTCTTGGCAGCAGAGTCGTCGAGCAGGATTTCCATTGGATGTCGGGAACATAGTATTTGGCATCTCACACGATTGCATCTAAACTGCGATCCTGGATTACCCTACCTGCCACCTGTGGCCAAACCCGAATCGAATGGCAACCTGCTTATGTGGTTATCGAACACTTGTCCTTGGATCTGGCAGGCACAGCGTGGCAGCTTTAGAGCCAGACTTGCAGATTCAAGAGATTGGGCGGACAGTATGAGGGGTAAGGGCTTACCTATCTCTGCGACGACATATACTGTAGGCTGCCTTGGGCACGAGCCTCTTTCAGCACTCAGGACCATCTAGTTGCAAGGCTTCTCTTATTTGGGAGGGTAACTTCTTATTTCAGGGTTTAGGGTTTAGAGGTTTTCTCAGGTTGCGGTTATGTAAAAGCTGGGTTGGTAAGCCCCTTGCCTAAGCTTAAAGGTCTTAGGGTTTAGGGAGGGGTGTTCGGAAATCAGACGACACTCATTGGCCTGGCAAGCATCTGTGGAATTTCAGTAGTATTGGGGAGGAAAGAGTGTTTCAGGGTTGTGGCACGACAAGGTTTAAGACCTTAGGCTTTGGGGCTGGGGTTCCGAAGTTACCTTTTGAACCAAAGCATCGAAACCAGCAATCTCTGAAAAACAACCCTTGTTCCTGGAAAGACCATTGCCTTGGAAACAAGCAAGGGAAGGTGAATTAGGGACAACCGAACCGTGGGGTGTCGTCCTCTAAAGGGCTAGAGGTTGTTGAGGGCGTAGCGTTTGGGGGTTACGGTTACGGGGCTGATGCGGGGCAAGAATGACTCAAAGCAAACCCCCTCTCCCGGCCCGGGAGAGGGGGTTTGCTTTGAAGCATTCTTGCGGCCAGGGGGTTGTTATAGGGCTGAACCATGGTAGGTATGTGTTTTCTGAGGGGTTTGGGCTTAAGTAGACCCGAACCCTAGAATATGAAGCTATGCTTTCTTGGTCAGAAGACAAAACCTGGCCAAATGCAAAGAGCACCCCAGGCTCTTCCGAACGACTACAGATTGTGGAGTACATAGACCCGAGCCCTAGAATATAACATAAGCTATGCCGAAGACAAAACCTGGCCCCAAAGGCAAACAGCACCCTCGGCCCTTGCAATGGGATACAAAAGAAGCCTAAGCAGTAAAACCTAAATCCTACGTAGAAATTACAGAGCCGACTTCTACGATGACATTAGGCTGGAGTGCCTGTATGCTGTATGCACTAGATCTAGGAGCACACACCCAACCCTCAATTTCTGCAGCTGCTGGGGTTTGTTGTCTCGGCCTTCTTCGTGGCTCTTTGTCAGGACTCTAGGCATCAAGGGTTTAAGGTTTACGGTTTAGGGTTTCGGGTTCAGCTACAGTAGAAGCCAGAAAGTTAGAACATGGATTTAGGAGGATTTGTGCTAGGATCCCGTATACTTTACTTTAGGGGCATGAGGATACTAATGTTCCAACTTTCTGGCTTCTACCATAACTAAGACCAAACCCAAGCCTGCCCATAGACTGAAGCATAAGCCCCCGGAACCCCGGAACCTGAACAAACAACCAACGAAGCTTCCTCACTCGAACCCAGGAAAAGCGTGGCGGCGGACTCTCTTCGGCGAGACCACACTGCTGGAAAGCCCAGCAGGTCGTCATCTGGAGATATGTACCTGCCAGCGTGGGGAATTTTGGCTGCCAGGAACCATCTGTGCACTTGCTACTCCTACAGAGTAGTACAGTTTTTTCGCTGCTTTCACGAGTAGCTGCATCTCTCGTCATGACTCATGCTTCCTCTAAAGGGCAGTGCGAGGCGACCCAACAGCCACAACTCTGGCTTGTGACCTCACGTAACAAGTTGCTTAGTATTTGCAAAGCCGACACTCGCCCCTGGAAAGCAGACACCCGTCATTGGACCCCTAGTAGATCCCAGAGAGCAGCACAGGAACGGTAGAGAAAACGTGGCCCGAGTCGATTGACTCAGGATCATGGATCAAGCTGGCCGTCGGATCATACCACGGAGCCTCGGATACAGTGTCATGGCTGAAATTGGCAAGCAGGGTTATAAAGACCAGGCGGCTAAGCTCGTCAAGCAGGCCGTCGGATCATGCCACGGAGCCTCGAATGAAATGCCATGGCTGAGATTCAGCGAACTCGAGTATATTGTAGGCCAGGAAACTAAGCTTGTCAAGCTGGTCGCCGGATCATACCATGGAGCCTCGGATGTAGTGTCGTACTATATCATATTTATTATATTTCACAAACTGGACAATGCAACTACTTCTAGACAGGGAACTTTACTCCAGATTCTTCAGAAAGTCGGCAGCCGTTTCCTTGGCAACCTGCACGTAGTCGTCGGTGTTCTCCAGCTCGAGCAGCTTCGGCTTGCACTGCTTCCAGTAGAGATCCTGCAAGAGCAACATAAGTGGGTTTAGGTCTGGAGGCTTTGGAGTTGTGGGCTTTCGGACTAGGTTCGGAGGGCTTTATTTAGGTTTTCAGGGTATGGGGTTTTAAGGCTTAGGGCCTGAGCCTAGGAGATTTGGGGCTTTAGGAGTTTATTTCTTTGGGGTTGTCGGTCTTTGATCAATAGTTTACTTGGAGGGGCAGGGGACTTAGTAAGTAGGTTATAAGTAAAGTTATAAGTACCCTAAATGGAGTTAGCCCAATTATAACCCTACTTACAGCCTTACTTACTAAGTCCCCGGCCCCTCCAAGTAGGGTCTTAGGGTTAGGTGTATGGGGTTTGGGGTTTTTGAGGGAATGAGATGAACGAGACTTTCACTCGGCACTCCTCGTACTTAGTCGGAGCTTTCACAAAAGGTCGCACAACCTCATAGAAGGAATCGCGGATGGCTGTCCACAGGATCAACGAGTCGCCCTGTGGCGGGTTCCGGCGTGCAAAACTTCTGGCAACCGGCTGGTCTCCCTCTGCCTTCCGCTTGCGACCCCCAGCCATGGGTTCCTCTGCGGCTGCGGCTCCCTTGCACTTCTTGCTTGGCTTCTCATCATCACACTGCTTAGCCCGAGCTTTCGCTTTGGCTTTCGGCTTCGGTTCGATCTTGTCTGCCTCATCACCAGACGGCTTCCCCCGAGCTTTGGCTTTGGCTTTCGGCTTCGGTTCGCTCTCGCCCGGCCCATCCTCAGACGGCTTAGCCCGAGCTTTCGCCTTGGCTTTCGGCTTCGGTTCGCTGTTGCCCGGCTCATCATCACACTGCTTAGCCCGAGCTTTCGCTTTGGCTTTCGGCTTCGGTTCGCTCTCGCCCGGCTCATCACCAGACGGCTTCGCCCGAGCTTTCGCTTTGGCTTTCGACTTCGGTTCGCTCTTGTCTGGCTCATCACCACACGGCTCCTCGTCCTCCTGAGGCGGAACCTTGGTCGGTTTGGATTTCGCCTTGCCCTTCGGCCAACCTCGTTTGCCTGCAGCTGCAGGCCTCTTCATCGTGCCCTTGCGTGCAGGCTTCTTCTTCACAACTTCGTCGTCCTCCTCCTCATCCTCATCGGGATTCGGCATCTGGTTCTCCCTCTCTGCCATCTGAGCCCGCCGTCTCGTCTGCACCTTTTGGGGTTCATCGGGTTTCGGCAATTTAGGGGCTTAGGGCTTAAGGATTAGTAAAGGCCCTAAACCCTAAACCCTAAACCCAGGCCCTTGATACCAATCGTGCACTGTTCACCTAGAACTCTGGGTTTGCTAGGCGTCTCTGGTGACTCGTGTGTTGAGGGCTTCGGTTTATGATGGGGTTTGAGCCCGGGGGTTTTAAGGCTGTATCGGGAGTTAAAGAGCCCTGGTCCCAAATGTATGAGTAGTTAGATTGCCCAAGAGCAAAAGCCGCTTGTACCCCAAACCCAGAAACCCTGTGCTACTGTATCAAAACCTTGGGTTACATAACAGATCCGAAACCTAGATCTTTAACACAGCTCCCAAGACACAGTACCCTGCTGGATTTCTCGGCTGTAGAGTTTTCGGGAATCTGAAGTTTGGGCTTTTGGTGGTTCATATTTAGTGGCTTCGTGCGATCCAAACCCGAAGAGAAACCTTAAAAAGAAGTAGAATGCCCAGCCTTCAAAGACAACAGATCAGGAGATGATTTGCCGCTGTCACTGGCGACTTCCAGCGAGACCGACTCTGGGCATGACTCAGGTGTTGGGCTCTGGGGTGGGGCCTCGGAAGCTTGGTTCTTCTGGGCATCGGGGATTTCGGAAGCTTCGTCTATCGGGGCAACTTGTGGGACCTCGGATGCTTTGTCTGCCGGGGCAACTTGTGGGACCTGGGAAGCTTCGTCTGTCCTGGCAACGGTGATTTCGGAAGCTTTGTCTGGCGTGGCAACTTGTGGGACCTGGGAAGCTTCGTCTGTCCGGGGAACGGTGATGTCGGAAGCTTTGTTTGGCGGGGCAACTTGTGGGACCTGGGAAGCTTCGTCTATCGGGGCAACTTGTGGGAGCTCGGAAGCTTCCTCTGTCGGGGCAACTTGTGGGATCTCGGAAGCTGCAGCTCTTGCCGGCGTGGCCACGGGTACTGAGCGAGAGGCCCCTTCTTTCGAGCATGAGCTTTCCTGCTCCACAAGAGCTAGGTTACTGCAAGCACCTCGTCGAATAAAGCAAGCTTCACCCGCTTCGAATGCTTCAAGCTCCTGAAACAACTCCTCATTCAGGACGTCTCCGTCTGCAACGATGGTCTGCTGGGTGTCCATGTGCTTCACACCTGGGCTGCATTGGCTGGGGTGTGAAATAGGATGTGGTCGCTATTGAATTGAAGGCTTCGTGTGGATTGCTTTGTAGGATTATTTCTGCTGGCTGCGAAGTTTCCCAAAGCCGACAGCAATCCACTTATAATTACCGGTAAGACCCGAGAAGCCCAAAGCCCAAAGCCCGAACAGCTTCCACAGACAATCCCCAATAGTTGCCACTAGGACCCGAGAACCCTAAAGCCCAGAGCCCGAACAGCTTCCACAGACAATCCCCAATAATTGCCATTAGGACCTGAGAACCCTAAAGCCCAAAGCCCGAACAGCTTCCACCAACAACCCCCAATAATTGCCTTTAAGACCCCAGAACCCTAAAGCCCAAAGCCCGAACAGCTTCCACCAGCAATCCCCAATAATTGCCATTAAGACCCACGAACACTAAAGCCCAAAACCCCTAGCAGCCCTAGCACCTCACACCAGCAATCCCCGCTAATTGCCACTAAGACCCGGGAACCCTAAAGCCCAAGAGCAAGAAAGCAGTAAAGCCCAATACCCTACACCAGCAATCGCCAATATATTTGCCACTTAGAGCCCAGAACCCTAAAGCCCAAAAGCCCGAACACCTTACACCCGAAGCGAGCTCGAACGAGCTAAGGTCCTGGAGCTAGCCCAAGCTGGCCCTAACCAGAATCTTCAAACCATAGACCCGTGATGTGCAAGCTGAACAATTCGCTGAAGCCCTGACCTACAGCCATAGACCACATACCTGATTCGTGTGACAAAGACCTACAGTCCTCGAGCTTTGGGGTGGGAACACGATTGAGCTGAGAGCTTTGGGGTGGGAACACGATTGAGCTGAGGATCTGTTCCAAGCTTCGATGGTTCGCTGCCCAAACAGAGCTGCTCGTCGATGAGCAATCCGCTGCCTCGGCTGCTCAGCTTTATACTGTCGGACAAGAGCTGAAACTAGACTGCTAAGTCATCATGTGAAGCGAGATGCTCCAGTTCGGCCAGCTCTCTAACGAGATCGATGCCTTCAGCCGGAACTCCTGCCTCGTAAGGCACAACCCGTGCCGTATCAGCATCTAGCTCGTAGGCTACTGTCCCCACGTATGCCGAAGGTGGCTGGGGGGATCCAGAAACCAGGCCCATGCTCTGAGCGAGGTAGTCATCAACCTCGCAAGGCTGTCCATCCTCGTCCTCTGGCTCTGTCAAAGTGTCTTCCTCCTCTTCCTGCTCCTCGCCTTCCTGCTGTTCCTCACCTTCCTCCTGTTCCTCTCCTTCCTCCTCTTCCTCACCTTCCTGCTCCTCATCTGCAACAGCCAAGGACCGGCGGCTGCGAACCTTGGGCGGCCAATACTTGGCGACTGCAGCGAAGATGGCCTTGAGGCGATGATCCTCGAATGATGGTTGGGTTCCATGTATTCAGTCTGCAACCCAACAACACCCTCAAAGCTAAGAATCACAACATAAGCAAAGCGGCCTTCCTCTTGGACCCGTCGTGTCGCCGATTGATGTAACTCATGAACATCTTCAAGCTGTGACTGGTGCAATGGATCATGCCGGGCTTAGGGGTGACCTCGATCTCCTCAAAGTATCGTGTAACCTGATGGCTGCCACGAAGAATATCTAAGAACAGTATAATGAATCGTGCACTGATATGAACTGAAATAGAGCATACGGCTTGGATGTAAACCAAGTAGCTTGCTCCTTCAGGTTCTGGACAGGCACGGTCTTCTGCGACTCGTTGTTAGGACAGTACACTTCTATCAAAGCCAGGAGAACTTTGTGGTTCAGCATGAGAGACCTCTTATTGATTTTTCCGACCTTGGAAGGATTCTCCCACTCCAACAAACTTCCCTTCTTCCTGGAAAGCTTGCGGATCCCACGGTTTTCTTCCCAGGCCTCCCAAAGGCCTGATAAATCAACATCCCTTCTGGGCCTGACCGCCACTCTGCGAGGCGGCGTCTGCGGTTCTTCTACCGCAACCAAAGCCATGGTTCAGTGTGGCTGAGAAAAAGCGCTCGAAGTCAGTTGTGCAAGAAGTACAGCAGTTGAAATTAGAGTAGAAGTACAACGATTGGAATTAGGGCAATAATTAGGGTACTGAGGGTACTGCTTGGAAGCTAAAGCAGCTATAATCAGCTAAAGTCCATCTGGGGGCTCCTCTAGATCCGGCCAAAAGCTTCAGAGCACCCAAGAGTTTTCATGCCATGCATACAACTGAAGCAATGAAGACACAGCTCGGACACAAGGGGCACCGGATCCAGGCTTGTCAGCCAACCACACATCACCTGCAGCAAGTCACTGACTATAAGGGAGGCTGTGCGAAGGTTCTGCAGGCCTCAGGCTCGTCCAGTTGGCTCCACCAAAATACCTGCAAGAATCGCTTGGTTGCTTTGATTTGCTAAGCCAAAGATTGCAACAAGTGAGGGGCACACGGGCACCCAGAGGGCAGCTGCAAATGAAGCCCTGCCACAAAACGTAGATTTTGGAGCGTGGGTTTCAGGGCTAAGGATTCAAGAAGTTCCGGATTTGCTGGCCTCGTCCATCTCCTTCGAGCCACCGAAGCCATCCGCCGAAGGGTCGCCGGGCCTGAGAGGACTAGTTTCAGACAGATATATCAGAGAGAGAGAGAGTGAGAGAGAGGGAGGGAGGGAGGGAGGAAGAGGTGAGACAGAGGGACAAAGAAAGACCCCACACATGCTCGGTTTTGGACCATGCCAAAGCCAGTCAAAGCCTGCGAAGGCAAAGAACCAATCGTGGGAATATAATTCTCGCGAAAAGCAGTGGCGTGGAGCAATGCATCATGCTTCATGCTCGAGGCTTGTTTCCCCGGCTCGCATCGTTGGCACCCGTTCAGCATCTACGGCTCACTTGGACCTCGAGGTTTCTTCGTGTTGGGGCCCTTCTCCTTGACGGGTGTCAAAGGTTCGCCCTGGAGTCCTGGGCAACATGAAATGGTTCCAAATCTCGCACGGCTTGAACCCCTGGAGACATGACTGGAACTGCAAGTGCATTCGGAGGCTCTAATCTTCTCTTGGGCCTGCCAAAACTGCTTGGCCAGCTCACGAACAGAGCCTCCTTCCTTGTAGTTCGTCACAATCGCCTCGATCTCGGCAGCACTGAGGATATCCTCGGAAAGATTTGGATCTTTCAAGGTTCTTCTTCCAAGCTATTAACACAATGGGGTCTCTGTGCTTTTAAGTGGCATGTGGCTTATCTGCCTCCGGCCACAGAACACCCTGCACCTCGTGGAAGAATGCCAAGGGCATGTCCTGGAGTCCTGGAAATTTGCAGGGTCCAGCATGAGAAAAGAACATGATTGCTACAACTCTTGTGAGAAATCTAGTCAGTCCTGCTGACTGCAACAAACGAAAGCTCTCCATGGGAACAGGCAGATGCTCCCCCATGCTTTCAGCTTATTCTGGATTGCTCTAAGTGATGTTCTTGTGCCAACAATCACTCGATCTCGAGCCCAACCGCTGATGAATTCGAGTTCCCTGCTTCTCACGATCAAGCAACTGTCTCAAACAAGAAGAAAGATGCAGCAGGGAGCTGGGCACACCTCGAGAGGGCCAGGGGCAGCCGGAAGAGAGCCCAGAAAGGGCTGCAACCGGCCACCAATCAAGAAACGCCTCCAAATTCGAAGTCCCGCCGACAAGCTCCCAATCCCGCCGACGGCCGGCAAAAGGCGATTTTGCCCGGCGCCGGCGTTTATTAAAGGCGTAAAGATTCCCCAGGTATAGAACATCTATATATACACACATACACATGTGTGCAGACACCGACAGGCTTTATAATATATATATATATATATATATATATATATATGTATATATATAACATACACACACATGTTGTACTTAAGCTATCTATATATATATATATATATATATATATATGTATACATTCGAGTCGACACTTAAATGTCTAACATGTGTGTACACATGCATATTTACGAGGTACAAGCTCACATGTACATGCATGAGTCCTCGGAATCACCCATTTCCGGATGCGGCCACCACCATTCGGAGCCCAACTCTTTTTTTCGTTCCCTGATAGCCTTTGCCGAGGCCGACCCGTACAAAGTCTTCAGGTCCCGGAACGTGCGCATGACGTATTTCCCCCTTCTGCGAGACGTGCGCGACAAGCTAGCATTGAAAACAATCGACGACTCTGCCCAATTCTCCGCTGCCTGGACCCACTCTTCAAACAAGCGTGCGATCACCACCCGGTCTCAGATGTGAAGGTTCATCAAAACTAGCTAGGATCTCAAAACCCAATTATTATAGCTCATTAGTTGTTATAATAGGCTGGCCTTACTCATGATTCTCGTCAGGTAGCTGTACTTCTTGCCCTTGGCGGCATCCAGCACAGGCTGCGGGCAGAGCGGGCCTTGGATTCGGATAAGGGCCAGGTTGACAGTAGAGTTGTTTTTGGTTGTGTATATATTGGTCCGACTACATGGGATGTACATATAGCAACATAACCCCATACATTATTTTCAAGTAGAGTGTTTATACATCGATCACTATATATATATATATATATATAGCAGAAAGCCGATGTGTTCCAGGTGTGAAACCAGCATATTCGGTTGCACCACATTTAGATCCAGGTTTAGCTCATGATCATCATGCATGATTTCATTAAGGGCACTTTCGAAACTCCGGTTGAACCGCATCCGCTGGTTGTGATTGAGTCTTCGATCACGCTCATCAGGTGTCTCGTAGGTGCCGTCGTTGCGGGGCAGGAGCAGGCCGTACTGCATCATCTCCTTGATCTTGCTTTCCTGTACTAGCAAGGTTTTGCAGTATCTACTTGTTAGTGATCACACATATTAACTTTGCAAGGTCAATGATGAGAAGTACCACCACATCTAGTGGAACTTGTACCATACTACTTCGTACTAGTCCAAGTACTACTATAGCAGGCAGTTGAAATAGTAGTACACTAGTAATAGCAGCAATACGAGAACAAGTACTCGAGTAGAGGATTCTGGTGGCACCGATGGTGCTGTCCAAGAAGCCGGTGGTCCACCCCCACGAGCTCTTTGTTTAGGGTTTCGGGTCTAGGGGTTTAGGGTTATAGGGGTCTTAGGGGTTTTGGGTTTAGGATTTCAGGGGTTTGGGGCTTTAGGGATTAAGGGTTTTAGGGTTTCGGGGTTTGGGGTTTAGGGTTCTACGGCTTTACGTGTTTTATGGTTTAGGGTCTTGCGGTGTAGGGCCCATACAAGTGTGCAACACTGATCATGATAGCAACTTGTCGACAGTTCTAGCAGCAGCAATCTCGGCCACGGTGTGTGTGTGTGTGTGCAAATACATTATCATACTATAAATGTACACAGCTACGTGTGTATATGTTTGTGGTGTCTGTTGCCAGCACTCTAGAATTCGATACATACATACACATGCACACATGTGAGTGTGCAAAGCAGGCTAACATTATATAGTGAAATTTCATCTTAAGATGAAATTTCACTATATAATGTTAGCCTGCTATGTATATATATATATATATATTGTAATAACTATTATTACAGTACATATTAGTTGTACCCATCTAAACACTGCGGGCCTCCATCGTCGTGGTGTCGAGGCGCTGGAGCCCCGTGCGCGTGATCTCCAGCTGAAGCTCTATGGCACGATCAGGAGGGGGCGGGGGCAGCATGCCACGTTCACGTCGGGGCTCGGGCTGCACAGACTCCTGCATCACATAGAGACGTTCACGCATGTACATGTACATGCAGACACATGCATTTAATGTTGCACACACACACACACATGTACACATATCTTATTATTTCCATGTATTAAGAGGCTAGCCTCCCTGATGGTAAACCCCGAAGGTACGAAACGGAATTAGTAGTTGAAACACCCAATCCTTGGGGAGAGCAGCTGCACGGGCAGATGGTTCTCGAGGGGCGGAATCAACCTCCATCGAGGGTTCACCGGTGCCCCCCCCTGAGCTGGGATCCACAGGAGTCAGCTGCAAAGCTGACATGTGAACCTCAACCTCCTTCATCATCTGCTGCACCAGCTCGTCCTCGGTTTTGGGGCAGTCGCTGTCATAGAGCTCAGAGGCTTTTGCCAGCAGGTGCTCCACACCCTTTTCCAGGCGCTGCACACACACATCCATTTGCTCCTTGACCACCTGGATCTCCTTCATGCCCTGGTCATGCAGGGACTTTTTCCAGGCGGCCATTCTTTGGGTCACAGCCGAGCTGCTGGACATGGTGTTGGCCTGTCCGGCATGCTGGACAACAGACGCCAAGGCCTTTGCCACGGCCTGGTCAGCATGACCCATTTTTGCTGCCAGCTGCTCGTTCAGTGCCGCGTGCTTCTGCGACACATCCTTGACTGCAGCCCAACCTTCCAGGCACTCAGATGCTGGCACACACAGGGCATCGCCCCCGTGCATCTCACGATTTTCAGTCGTCTCATTCTCCAGCACCCAGTCCATGACGGCATCACCAAGAACTCGCCGCCCCTGAAAATCATCCTTTGAAAGCCCATGACCATCTGCAAAGGCACGGTAGAGCTGGTTTCGGAGCTCCATGACCAGCTCCTCAAAAGGGATCTTCTGCTTCATAGGGGTATCGAGGTCACGGGTGTGAGACAGGCTGCGCCCCCAGCTCAACGTCGTCATGCTGTCCAGGCTTCTGAACTTGTCGTCGAGGGGTTCTGCTGTGGTCTGCTCCACGAGTCCTTTTCCATGCTCCACACCAGGATCTGCTGCGGTCTGCTCCAAGGGTCCTTTTCCATGCTCCACACGAGGTTCTGCTGTGGTCTGCTCCACGGGTCCTTTTCCCTGCTCCACACGAGGTTCTGCTGTGGTCTGCTCCGGTCCTTTTCCCTGCTCCACACGAGGTTCTGTTGCCGTCTGCTCCGGTCCTTTTCCCTGCTCCACACCAGCAGTTGCTGCTGTGCTCTGCGCCACATGTCCCTCCGGTCTACAAGCTTCGGCTTCGGCCAGTACGGGGTCCACCAGCGTATCTGCCTTGGCTTGATTCAAGACATGACAGCCGCTATATCCTGTAAAGCAATGCAGTGGTACAACTGGCTTTGGATCTTTGAATCTACTTGCTTGCAAGAAGCAGCCTGAACACCCATCAGATCCGGCAACAGGTTGCGAGGGCTGAGCTGCATAGGCTTTTCTGGGGAAGGAGTCTTCACAGGAGCAGGGGCCTCCTTTGTCACAATTGCCTTGCAGGGTGTCGTGATTGCAGGCTGGGGCATCTTGGGGTGAGGGAGCCCTTCCAAGGCCATCTCTCTAGAGGAGCTCGTAGCACCCACCACAGTCTGCACAGCACCTGCACCCTCGGCGATCTCGGGAGAAAACTGCCGGGATCTCTTGAAGTCTGGGCTCTTGGAAGCAGGAGTCACGGCCACCGGAACACCGGTGCTCTCTCTAACACGCTTTGTCACATCCATCATCTCCTTCTCCATATCGAAGGAATCCTCTGCTGATGCAGCCTCGGAAACTCACTAAAGGTATGAAGGTATTGTACATCCCAGTAAGAATTATACATATGCCATGCTTTCTATATACAACGATATGGCCTAGTTTGAATCAGGTCAGGGCTTTAGCACACGAAAAAGGCTCTCTATGGGCCCCACATGCTACACTCCATGCAGTCCAGGGTACAACATGCATGTACTTCGGATTACATGGTGGTGAACATTAAGTATAAGGAAGCACATGACATGTAATTCAGGCTTGTAGCCGTCTTCCCACCGGCAGGCATATGCTCCGGCATGGCTGGGGGCAGTCACAAGCCCCAGATCGAATTGGAAGAGGCCTCTTGAAACCCTAATTTTGTTGGAATCCTGAGGATTGTCCTGTATAGCTGCCAAAATGTGTGAAATATTGCCATCCTAGCAAGTTCTAGCAAGTCCCATACCCGGCCTCAAATCAGGGTACCCTGCGAGCCCCCGGAGGCAAAGTAACGAAACTAACGGGCAAAGTAACGCCCAGCACTCTCCAGGCACGGCCACAGCACGCAAACTAACGCAAAGTAACGCGTAAGTAACGCTAGCTTTACTGTAGCTAGATTTCATAGGAATTACAGTAGAAATCCGCGATTTTAGCTAGATTCCCAACGGTTTCAGGTCGATTCGCTTGGATTTACAATAGAAATGCATGGTTTTAGCTGGATTTCTTAGCAATTACAGTAGAAATCGATGATTTTAGCTAGATTCCCCTACGGTTTTAGCTGGATTCCTTCAGAATTACAATAGAACTCCTTGGTTTTCGCTGGTTTTCGCTGGAATGACCATAGAAATCCGTGAATTTAGCTAGATTTCCTGGCACTGACAGTAGAAACCCACGATTTTAGCTAGATTTCCATGCATTTACAGTAGAAATCCACGATTGTAGCTACACCTCCTTGGAATTACAATACAAATTCCCGATCTTAGCTGGAATCCTTCGGTTTCTCCTAGCAAACGGTATGTTTCCTCAACAAGCGTGGGGATTGTGCTAGGACTGCTGTATGCTGGTAGGCAATACAGCGAGGCTAGATAGAGGGATTCTCTAGGAATTGCCATACTCGTCGATGTACTTTAGTTATCACGAATTTGCTGCCTAGGATTGCTTTTTTCTAGCCATTGCACGACATCAGGAATGGGGTTTTGCGTAGGAAATACAATACTCCTAGGTCTAGTTGTCTTTCTCACACACTTATAAGGTTTCCCCAGCTTGCTGCATCAGGAGTGTGGATTCCATGATAGGAAACACAGGATTCCCAGGATCTTGAAGTGATGTGGGGTCTCCTTTATACATTTCAGACTTAAGTGTTGCAGCGGGAGTGTGGCTTCAGCTGCACTGGCAGCTAGAAAGAGCATTATTAGGGTCTAAAAGAATTGGGGTTTCGGGGTCTCGGGTTTGGGATATGGGGTTAAGGGTATGATGCTTTAGGGTTTCAGGCTTTTTAGGGCTTCAGGGCTTAGGGGTCTAAGTGTCCACTCTTGGTGTTGGAATTTCAGTGGTTCCGATGTATCATTAGGATATTATGGCAATTCCCGAATGTGGTTTGGGATGAATGTCTTTAGGGCGACTTAGGGCTGCTTGGCTTTAAGTGTCAACATGATAATCTGGCTGCCACATGTGTCTCCGACTACATGGAGCTGATAGACCACCTGCAGCACGACGCGAGATGCGATCCGCGCAGACATCACGAGCATCAAAGACGCGTCGCATGGCAAGTACTTCTACTCAACTGACAACAGGCGGCTGTTCAGCATCAAGCCGTTGGGACACCGACGATGGATGTCACAGTCATCTGCGTGGATGAGCATCACTGAACATCTGAGATGAGGAACACTTGAACTCCTCGCGGCATGTCAGCGCGTTGCATCCCCCCTCGCACCCAGCCTCAGTTCACCCGGAACCTGTACCTACACGGATGTGATATAGACACCTTATAAGGCTCCCGCCTCTTGTGGTTCAAAGCAAAAGGCCTGTAAATTGCAAGCGTGAACAGATTCCGCCCTAGCATACAAGTCCCGTCACCACTCCGATTCCTATATATATATATATATATATATATATATATATATATATTATCATAATATTTTGAAAGAATCTACATATATGTCTATATTATATAGCTTACCCTATAAGCTGTAGACCCCTAGTAGGACCCCGGGCCCAACCCGAATCCTTGTAATATTTCCAATACCCTAGACACCTGAATAATCTTGGTGCAACTCGAACCCAAACCAGAGCAGGTGCGGCGATATCTGATGACAGGCTGGGCAACCGAGGTTATGCTCTAATAGCATGCTTAAGTGGCTATGCTGTATAATCATATAGTACGACATACAGTGCAAGTACTACAGAGTCTAGATCTTATTACAAGTAAATGATAAGGAGATCCCACACCACTTCAGGTGGTCCGGCATGTAGCCACAGTGTTCCACATGCACTTGAAATTAAGCCCACCGTACTTCACTTCATCACGCTTGTAGCACACTAGGAGGTACGAATAATATATCAATAAGTTAGGGGGATGTTGGGACTAAGATATCTTGAGTCTCTCATGCTTTACTTCATAACAGCTTTGCACATTGTACGAGTGTTGCACCGGGGTCGGTCCAGGGTATTGAAGACGATTAAGGTTTAGTAGGGTTTAGGGCTTCAGGGGTTTGGGGTTTAGGGTTTTAGGGCTTGGGCTCCGCAACTTAGGATCGGGGTGGGGCTTCTAGAACGGTCGATGGTCAAAATCCTGCATGGCTATATATATATATATATATATATATATATATATAATATTTGTATATATAACGACCATACTTAGGCTCAGGAATTATGGAATATTCTAGTACTACTTTGCATAGGTAATGCAGGAAGTTGACCATCAACCGTATCAACTGCAAAGCTTCATGGTTTCATACGGTGTCCAATGCAATATCCACTGCTGACTCTTCACCAGATGCCCTAAGCCTGAACCCATGACCCTCCTACGGCCTCTCCCGTTTAACCCGATGGTTTGGACCACGAGGACAGACCCTCAACCCTTCCAAAAACTCTAAACCTCTAGGCCCTAAGTTCGAAGCCTTCACAACACCCTTTAAACACTTATACACATACGGATAAATACATACAGACCATATAGAGCCACACTAGCCAACCATAGTAATCTCCAATCCTGACATATGAAACCCTTGCGCTGAAAGCCCTCCAGTTCTGATTCCTTTCTTTAATGCAACAAACCCATGAATGAGCCAGCAGTAGAGAATCAACCAGCCAGATCGGAACGAAGGCCGAATTGTGAATTAGACCTGCATTGTCGTAGCAGCACCATGTGCTCAACATGTACATGTCCCAATCGGAGTACCTTATCAATTGCCCGTACATCACATAGCATCTGGGTTGCACCTGGTATTAAAGATTAAGATATATGTAAGTACAACACACTCAGGGTGCTAGTTTCGGTATGCATTGTCAGGGCTGCAAGCCACGGGTTCCTCTCACGATGAGACTTGAAGTATCTAATTATTGGCTTACACCTAATTTGTAGAAGCTAGACCATCCTAGAACAAAGCTTGTCGATTGTACAAAGTTAGGAGGGATAACTCTTTTGGGCAGTGTGGTGCCGGGTTACTTCTACAAGCACAGTAGGCATGGGATAAGTCCACAACCCAACTGTTCTAGATCTGCTAGACACGTACAGCATCGTAGAGCCATAGCACGAATTTAAGTCACTGCGAGGTTCCACGAGCTGACAAGCAGAGACCACAGAGGCCGGGTCATCTTGGAAACCCAATCACTTCAAGTAGAGGGCACATCCAGGAGATCAGTTTATGCTCTTTGGGAAACAATGCAATACCTCTACAGAGCAAGGGAAATTCCAGGTACATGTGGGATCAATATATAGGATTGCTCTGCAATGCTGATTCCAAGGCTTGTAAGACTAGAGTCCCCAGGCACGGAGCCCCTAGCTGGTACTGCTCATGGATCCCAAAAGAGTGGCCTTGTAGGCTTCATAAACCTGCTGTGAGGGTGAGACCTGTAGCGGGATGAAGGGGTCAGCATTGTAGAGTCCTTGGGCAGCAGCCTGCTGCAAGAGGGGCACGAAGGTGTCGAGGGCAGCTCGATCCCATAGACCAGCTGGTGGCTCCTGAACATTTTGTAGAGTGATTGATCGCAGCAGTAGCAAAACTCATCATGATTGTCGACTCCGAGTCGTATGCACAACACATCCCGAAAGAACCAACTCCTTAATAAAAAGGCACATACAGGATCCCCAATTCAAGTCCTGCCATGCACTGTTCAGGATCCCGAGCAGCATCGGATGGGGGCTCGACTCCTCCTGCTGGCTTTCCTGAGATTGCGCGTGGAAGAGCCGGCTTAGGGTTTTGGGGTTGAGGACATTTAAATTTAATTAGGGTATCACCTGGATCTTGGGATTCACTAGTTCCACAGTTCTGGATTTAGGCCATATAGGGTTTCCAATCGGATTTGATCTTCAGGAATTCCAGGCTTTGGGTGGTGGCTTTCTGTTCGTGGCACGGGGTCTTAACCTGCACTGGATCAGAAAAGAAACATGAACTTAGAGACCTTATATTACAATTAAGGCACCCAAGATTCCTGCCACTCCACATGAAGTTTGGCTACTCGATGTCCAAAGTTGCTTGGGTATTGCTGGGTTGATTTCAAGTCTTTCCCACCACACACCTTGCGCTTCCCATTGACCGTCCTAACTTTGACAATCTCTTTGCCGGCAGCAGCCTGTTTCCGACTGAGCTCTTCCCGCTTTCGCTGCGTCATCTTGATTTGCAACTGGTGCATCCAGGGCCTTGCTCTAGAGTCCAGAACATGTCTGCGAACTCACTAGTTTCCCATCATGTCATTTCCGCAACTCCGAAGTGCATGCTAGAGGCGCTGTGCCAATGGCCACCTGTGGTTTCACAGATAAGCCGCCATAGGAGCCCATCCACCTTAGAACATAGTCGGCATGAGTTGGTTGGTGCTGTTTTAGTTCTTGTGGATGTAGTGGCAGTACCAATTTTCTTATATGTAGGTGGTGCAGGAGCAGCAGCTGCAGCAATACTCTTGCTTATTTCCGAAAGCAGAGGCAGTAGAAAAGCAAGTAGCATACAAGATATTGTAGCAGCAGTAGTAGCAGGTAGCAATGTAGCAGTAGCAGTAGTAGTAGTAGTAGTAGTAGTAGTAGTAGCAGTAGCAGTAGCAGTAGCAGTAGCAGTAGTAGTAGTAGTAGTAGCAGTAGTAGTAGCAGTAGCAGTAGCAGTAGCAGTAGCAGTAGCAGTAGCAGTAGCAGTAGCAGTAGCAGTATGTAGCAGTAGCTAGTAGTAGTAGTACTACGTGTACATAGTAGTATTACTACTAATCGTAGTAGCAGTAGTCTCAGTAGTCGTAGAAGTGCTCGTCGTCGTCGCAGTCCTCCTAGTATGTAAAACACGAATAGTTCTAGTCGTCTTGTCTAGTATAGTAGTAGTAGCAGTAGTAGCTAGTAGTACTACTAGTAGTAGTACTAGCAGTAGTAGCAGTAGTAGTATTAGTAGTAGTAGTAGTAGTAGCAGTAGTAGTAGTAGTAGTAGAAGTAGTAGTAGTAGTAGGTAGTAGTAGGTAGTAGTAGGTAGTAGTAGGTAGTAGTAGGTAGTACTAGCTAGTAATAGGTGGTAATAGGTGGTAGTAGCAGCGATGGTAGAAGCAGCCGCCGCAGCTGTAGTACTGGCAGCGGTGGTCCAAGTAGTACTCCTACAGACAGGTACAAATATCTATATTGCTGCTACTGTGGACTAGATACATGTTATCATATTAAATTGCTGCCCTTGATGTTCGGCGTGCATCGGTGGGGAGAGACAGTACCCTCGGGATATGCCTAGATATACATATCAGAACCTTTTTACCTCTGAACCCCGAGCTAATTAACTTAACCGCACAATCAGAAACCGAAAGCCCCCCGAACAAAGCAGAGTTCTGTCAATCCACACCAATCCTCCTCACTTATATTACTAACTAGACAATTTATTAGGAACCCGAATTCAAAATCCCATCCCCCAGATCAGAAATATCCGGTATAAGTATACCACCAGACGATCACGTGATTGCTGACGACACTGAGTGTCGGACCAATTCGCATATTGCCCTCCGATCGGCTTGGCCATTAGGTACTTCAGAGGGGGCAACCAAAACAAGTGCGTGCAGCGAGGGTTCTCAATCATGAACTTGACATTCCGAACTGTTGCCAGAAGACAAAGAAGTATGAACCTGGAGCCCAAAGCGTTTCCATCATAAACGAAAGGGAGCTTCTCCTCGCCCCAGGGGAAAGCAGCCGATCTATGGTGCGTCCCAGCAGACATGAAAACATAGCTGGAGCACGGAACTGCCCCATATAAAAGACCCAGCTCCACTAAGCGAAGAACACCACGGAATGCCATCATAAACCCAGCAGGTCGAAGAAGATCTTCAAATACACAGTCGTTCTCCCTTTCGAAACCTTGCCTCAGTAGAGTCTCGATAACTACACTATAGGCTATATATATATATATATATGCCAAGACTCGTCCAAGCATCCAAGCCCCAACATGTTTCTACACGTTTTGGATGCCAAGATTCGCATTGTGTTTGCGGGCTCCTTGGGTTGGGTAATAAATATGTAACTATATACATAAACATATATGTCTCAAATTTAATTATTATGTATGTATGTATATATATATATATATATATATATATATATAGCAGGTCCTTAACAGGCAAGAATCGGAAACCCTTCACCACGGCACCCACACCAGCGAACACCTCGTAGCAGGACAAGTCCTGGGCAGCAGTATCTTGGATAGTATCTTCGATCCGATTACTATGTAGGCCGTTTAGAATCTATATGTATATATACACATATATATACATATATATATATATGTTATGGTCAACATCTCTCAGTTCACACTAAGGGACTCGGTGCGCTTCTGCTCGGACATTAGCGGCGACATAGTCCAGGATGTGTATCCTGAGCATTATACTTGTTCTCTTAGCATCCGTTGTAATACATGCGGCACATGTACGTATATCTGATCATCAGGTAAACAGACACCTGCATATAGTGCTCAATCCAACTAATTTACAGGCAAGCATCAGCACTGGTGGTGCCCCAAGAGCCAACAAGGCACAGACCTGCAGCCTAGTGAGGCCCATAGCCCTGCGTGGAGCGCCCATGGCCCCGAAGACTGATTCCCTCAGTAGCTATTATAGCTAAAGTAGACACTCCAGCCTCAGATGAGCCATCTAATTTTATCATGCAGCAGTATGAAACTTATCAGCTGCATTGCATGTGCAACACTCACACATCTCGAGCAGGAGGCTCACAACTACACGGCCTGCGAACTTCTCGAAATGTTCTACAGCCTATATACTTGCATTGCACACCACACCATAAGATGAGTGACTTGTAAGATTTTAATGCAAGGCATGCAGAGGCAGCCAGGCCAGCTAGTCTTGCAATCCAACACTACACCCCTGGAAAACTCCCCTAAACTATAAAGCCTGACCCTGGCCGGCTAGAAGGAGGGCGTACCGGTGAGAGTCGACCGGCTGGATCTGGATTCATCACCTGCGCAGAGCAAGGGATAGCGTGCTGTATGTCGTCTTCCTGATGTCTCGATATCTTCATCACACTCTGAAGCCAAGCTTAAGATTGGCAGATGGTTTTGTAAGCTCGGTGAGCGAGTCGCAGATGTAGAAAGTTAAATCGTAAGGCACAGGACACGCATCATGTCTGCGAAGTCGTCCCATACAGACTTGGCAAAATGCAGTGCATGCCAACATCCTGCATCAGAAGACATATCTAGCTCACTCCATATGTTATGTACATCATGTATTTAGTTGAGTTCTCCGAGAGGATGGGGCATACACACCCTACGGTGGCCCTAGAGCGATCACGACATCATCACTCCACAGAAAGCATCTCGGCCATCTCTGCAGCATCTGCTGCAGCCAGTCGCATAGATACCTGGGTTAGATCATGAATCAGGAGATCATGGATCTGGATCCTTTAGGGCTGAGCTTGTGCAGACCGACATTCCTGGGAAAGCAAAATGCAGTGCTGGAGCCCCCAAAAAAATCGAGTGACCATCGTCGGGGAGATCCAACCAGCGACGGCCTTCGCAAGCTCCCACCTGGGCTTACTATGAAGTTAAGTTATCGAAGTTCTTACTTTATAGTGTTGTATGTATATTATATGTTATAAATTACTCAGGTATTCCCTCTAATCTAGTAATATATATATATATATATATATATATATTCGCAGTTTATCCATCTTAGTACAAGACGATGAAGAGAGATGCACTGCTTTGCTCTAGACGGGGATTGGGCATTTGGTCTTACCCCAACACCTACAACAAAGCAGTCCAGTACGATCAATATCTGCATAGCAAATAAGTATATACACACCTATAACCGTCGCACCACCACCTACATCCTATAAAAAAGTCGCAGTAAGGTTGATCGATGTATACATGATATCGTGACCTACTCCTACTCTATATCTTGCAGCCACACCGCGAGACCCTCACATTCGGACTCTTGTTCCACCCAATCGTAGCACCACCCTTGCGATCGACCTGAGACGAGGAGAGGGGCAATATATGCTCTATAGAGTTTATCGGAAGTATTTCGGTCGATGCACATATGTTGCTACAAGGCTGCAGCCACGACCTACACACAGAAACCCATCCCTTTAGGGTTGAAGGTTTAGCGTTTAAAAAATACAGGGTTTAGGGTTTTTGTAACAGCAGGGGAGGCTATATCTGGCATCCATCCAGCCCAGTCTTGAAAGGATTTGTGAATAATTCAACCCAAGGGACATGGGCCCATGTCTCCAATTCCTCCGGAATCCTGGCCTTTACGACGTAAAAAAGATTCTTATCGAGTATGATGCCGATCTGACTGGCCTCCGCCCCACGGGCTCCAACCCCCCTCTTAGCGGGCGGCTCCAGAGTGTACGATTGCCGATCAAAGCCAGGCTCCGGGAAGTCGAAGCCATCCAATCTGCAGGCACTGTGGGTCTCCCGCAAAAATGCAAGGTTCTTCCGGGCATTATCAAGCCGACTCGCCTTCCTTTTCTTGGCCGTCAAGCTCATGAACGAGCGCTTCTTTTCAAGCCCTGCCTTTCGAGGCGGAGTCTTCAACTCGGCTTCGGTAGGCCCAGCCTTCGCTTTGCTCTTGGACTTCGCCCGAGCCTTTGGCTTCTTCGGGGTCACGACCGGCACTGGCTCGACACTCTTGCCACGCCCTGCACGGCCGCGCCCCACACCACGGCCGCGACTCCCACGGCCACGACTCCCACGGCCGCGACTCCCACCGCCACGACTCCCACGGCCACGTCCGCCGGGAGGGGCAGTGTCGACCTTTTGGACCTCCTTTTTGGTGTTACCCTGACGCCCACGCCCTCGAGCACGACCACGACCCCGGCTCTCGTTGCATTTGCGCTTCTCCAATTTCACATGAGCTTTCGCGATCTCTGCCTTTGCCCGAAAATAGACTCAAGTAAGTACAGACACTACCTGTTGTATCAACAGAAAAGCCACTAAGCCCAAGTTGAATTTTACTGAACATCAGTGCAATTACTCCATGCACTTCCTCCCGAACCTCCTTTTGCTGCAGCACCAAGCTGGCAGGCACAGGAGGCAGCTTAGCCTCTCCACGTTTAGGGATCCACACAGGGAAGCTCGGGAGCTCGCGGGCGTCCTCAGGGATCAAAGGAGGTCGCCTCGTGTTCGATCCCAATGCTGGCATCTGTGCCACTTCCATCCGTGCGGGTACCT